GAAGTGGCTCACTTAGTGGGGAGGTCACCTATGTGATGGGTGGCCTGCTGGTTTGCCTTGAATCTGGTGCAGGGATCTGGTAAGGAACATGAGCCTGGTGCCAGGGTTTCAATATGTCCCCCAAGTTCCCTGCACTGGAAACTGAATTCCCCAATTCATATGTTGATGGGTTTTACAGGTGGGGCCTTGGGAGGTAATTAGGATTAGATGGGGTTATGAAGGTGGGGCCCCATGGCAGGGCTGGCGGGTTATAAAGCAGAGAGGACTAAGCTGACATAGGCTTGTCATGCTGTCATCTGATGCCTGCCACCATGTTGCAGTGCAGCAGGAAGGTCCTCGCCAGGTGCTGGCACTGTGCTCTTGGCTTCCCTAGCCTCCAGAACTGTGAGTTTTTTAAATCACCTGGCCTCAGGTGTCTTGTTATAGCCACAGAACATGGACCGAGACACCTGGCTTTTAGCTGCTGAGGTGGGTGACGGATTTCAGCCACTCAGCCAGATCAGTGAGGAAGGTCCTTTTAACTGGTCTGGAGATCAAGTGGGAAGTGTAGGAGGTGATCCCCACCCTTTCTCCATATTTTCTCCTTTTCCCAATTCTACTTGGTCTGCAAACAGCATGGCCTCAAGATAGCCCACCTGCAGGTGCTGGTGTGTGCAGAGGGACTCAAGCAGGGCAGGTGCCAGAGAAGCAGGTGAGACAGGGAGGGGGGCTGGCTCTGGGACACGTGACACACCCAACCACACATTTTGCACTCCCCAGGCCTTGGGGCTAACCACATGGTCATTGGCAGAGGCCACTCCTGAGACCCTGACTAGCAGGATGGGATGGGGATTAGGAACCAGGTGAACGCTGGCGGCAGGACCCAGGCTGGGCTGGGTCAGAGCTCTTCCCGTGCTGTGTGGGAAGAGGAACAGAAGTGCCGCTTGTCTGAGCTTCCCAAGATACGGTGAAGGGTGTGAAGACCTGCAGTAACTCAGGTCCACCTGGGCAGGAACTCCCATCTGCCAATCCCTGACCAAATGGAAAGCCTCAAGCCAACACAGAGTGGCCGGATGAAGACCAGGGTGTGATGTCCCCTTCAAGGGTGTCTCCTCTCCGAGGGGAGGCCTGTTCCCTTTTCCTCCTGAGCACTCGCTGAGTCAGAGAGCCTCTCTCAGTGGCACCAAGGACCCATCTCTTAACAGATACACTCTGAAGATGGGCAGAGGAGCGTGCTGGGTCACTGAGGGGAGAACATTTTTGAACCTTCCATTTCACGAGGAAGGAGTTTCCATATCCCTTGAGGCCTGGGACTGAATCCTGACTCCTGGGCATCCAGGGAGACTCACCCACACAGAGGTGAGGATTTTTGCCCTTTGCTACAGCGTGGCTGGAAGGCAGAGGGATCGTTGCTACAGAGTCCTGGCATGGAAGGACAGGTTCAAGGTTTCTTCACTAGCTGGGAGGTTTGTGGCCACCCTGTGCCTCAGTTGCCCTAGGCAGGGTTACACCAGGCCCAGAGGGGAAGTACAATTCCACTGTGGGGAGTCCCCTCTCCCCTCCAGCCTATCCAGGGCCTTGGCTTCCCACCTCCTCTCTAACTACATGGCCATCTCTTTGACAGTCATGAACAACAGACAATGTACTTGTGAGGTGACCTCCCAGGTCAGGCAGGACAGGAGTCCCTGAGAACTCCCTGGGGTGAGTGGCACCTCCCCTGCTCCTAACAGTCTCTCCAGGGACATGGACACACCAGAGGACACTGACTTTTCCATGAGTGTCAGCAACACCTTGACAGAGGCCTTCCCAAAGGGTAGCTGGTCATCTCTTGGGGAGCTGGCTTCCTCCAGCTTGGGCAGCCATGGCGGTGAATTGGGCCTAAATAAGTGGGAAGCACAGAGTTTAACCCAACTCCGTTGTGGCCTCTGTGTGACCTTGGGGAAGCAGCTGCTCTCTAGGTTTCCACTTACTCCTCTGAGACAAGAGCTGATTGGCTGTTGGTTGGCCAAGACCCTTGCAGCTTTAGGGTCTTCACCCCTAAGGCTGGGGCCTCCTGGCTGCTTAGGAGAGGGGTTGAAGGAAGGAGTGGGGTCTCTGGCCCTGGACACCTTCAGAGTCAGCCCTTCCCCAGTGCTGCCTGCTGTTTTGCCTCCTTATTCAGGGATTGTGGAAAAAGGCTTTTACTTTGGGGCCTTTGGCGATGTAAAGATCACTGAGAATTTAGCCAAGGATCAAACATACACTGCTTCTGGCCAGGGTCCCTAGAAACAGAAACATGGTCCCCAAGCTTCTAGGAGTACTCCTTCCCTTGACGCAGACTCTGTTTGCCCAGTTGCCATGAAGAGCACCAACAAACACCAGGAGCCCCTCCCTGCACACCCTCACTGGAAACTGCCAATCAAACTCTGCCACTCCTTTCCTCCTGAATCACTTGGGTTTAGAAGATTGAAAAAGGAAAGGACAGAAAGAGGAGCCAGCCCAGTGTATGGAAGCCCTCCTGAGCTGGCCAGCCCTCAGAGCTCTCTGCCCTCCTGCTCACCAGCACCATGCCTGTGTCCCACCTGCCCATCTCCTGTGGGCAGCCAGTGCTGTGCATGCTTCCTGCAGTCTAGGCTCCATATTCAGACCTGCAAGGGTTTTGAACACTTACACATGAAAAAGGTTTCAGGCTTTTTCACCACACTCCTCTACCCCATTGTTTGGCACAGTCCCTGGGTTCTGATCAGTGCCCACAAGGCATTTATTTGTTGACTGGTGTAGCAAAGAGAATAAGATGTATCTGTTTTATAAGGAAAGTCGCCCCCAGGCTGCTTTTGAGGCAAGGATGTGCAGCAGAGCAAGCCCTGTCAGTGCCACTGGGGCCAGTATGTACCTGGACAGTGTTTCTTGGCAAGGCTGCGCCTTGGGCCTGATGGGACAGGACCTGGGGAGTTGGTGTACTCTGAGGAGCCCACTTTGTGAAAGCGCAGGGCCATGATCCCAGGAGCTGCCCATGAGCCTGGGCTCTGCAGCAGACAAGTCTGCCAAGTGCGAATCAGGTGGACAGATGCGACTCTCCACACACAATTCCCCAAAGCCTGCACAGCAGGGCCTGACTGCAGCTTCATGAGCAGAGTGGGAGCTGCTCTTGGCATTAGAAGGGGGGCTGGCATTTTTTGAGGGGGAGGAGAACTTGCAGAGAAGGAAGAAATCCTGAAGCGACAGACAGCGGGACAGCTGTGGCCTGAACTTGGTGTTCTTGCTCCTGGGATGTGGATGTATTAATTTCCATAAATGCTCACAGCCCATTTCCCCAGGAGCTATTACTTATGTCATCTCCCCTTGGATCCAGTTCAACACACAGGGCAGACAAATGGAAGGGGAGGAAAAGGCAACCCCCGCTGGTGGGTCCCATCTCCAGTCCCTCTCTCAACCAGGCAGATTGAATCTGGTTTCTAAGTTGGCCCTGTTACACCTCAGAGTCCAGAACACCTGCCTTCAATCAGGTCCCCATCATTTCAGGAAGCAAAGAAAGTTACCAATCCCAAAAATGCTGAATCACAAAGTGAGCCTGAGCAGGAAAGTGGGGGTGGGGTGGGGAGGGAGATGGTGGCCAGGAAGACAGGAAAGGGTGCATGGGGACTCCCCACCTGGAGCCACCCCAGGATGCTTTAGGCAAAGTGTAGCCCCTTGGCAGCAGCCCTCCAAGACAAATGCCAGGAAGAGTGAGCAGGAGGTGTCTAGATGGGAGGGTGGGCAGGTGGGCAGGTACACACGCTGCTGATACTGCAGTAGGAAGCTGTGCAGCAGTGGAGGCTCTGCATCCTGCAGGGGCAGCAGCAGGTAGGGAGATGGAAAAGTGCTTGGTGCCTTCTCCTGGAAGGGCCTGGACAGGGGGAAAAAGCTGCTAATGGGAGCAGGGACCTAAGGATGAAGTGGAGGAGTGCAGAGTCACATAGCCAAAGGAACTGGTGCAGAAAGGGAGTGTCAAGGTCCTGCGGACCAGGGCAAGTGGAGAGAGAAGAGATTGAATGGGCTGGGAGCAGAATAGGTGAAAGGATGGGGTCAAGGGACAGGAGAGACCGGGGCAGGCAGCGAGGATGAAGGATTTGCCCTGAAGAGCAACAAGGATAGAGATGGGAGGTTCGGAACTAGGAAGGCTCTCATCGGGCTGCGCAGAAGCCGAGAGAAGGGATAGGAAGGATGGAACGTAGCGGGAGGTGAGGCTGCGGAACGGGAAGGGGCTGAGACCGGGATGCCGAAGAGGGATGAAGTTTGGGGCTGGGGTCGGGGATGCCAGCTGAAAGGTCAGGCGGATGACAGGGAAGCAAAGAGAGGATGGAATGGGGGAAGGGAGATGATGGGGAAGGAGGTGAGGAGGCTGGAAAGGAGGTGAGAACGACGCGGGGGCAGGGACGTAGGGCCGGGAAAAAGGAGATGGAGAGGGACCACGGTGCTCGCCGCCACCCTCCTGGCGCAAGTCCTTGAAAAGCTCGGCCGGCCGGGGTCTCCCCCTGCACTCACCTGGGGGCTCCAGCTCCGGATCCCGTGTCCCGCTCCGGATCTTCCTTCCCGCCCTGCCCCTGCGACTTTAGCTCCCCCGAATCCCGCTCGCTTCGGCAGGTTCCGCCCGCAGCATCTTCACCTCGTGGGACGCCCGCGGCCACGCCCCTGACAGAATCTCATTGGTTGTTGTTCACGCCAGTCACATTCCCATTCGCTGAGGATCGTCGTCCATGCAAATCAGGACGGGCCCATCCCCACGCTAACTGGCTAGTGTCTGCAGAGCGGAGCGCGCAATTTGGGTTCTGATTGGCTCCGCGGTCTTGACGACAAAAGTGACGCGAGGCGGGTTCTGAGTACGCGGCGCGTTGCAGACTTGGGCTCCTTGCCGGTGGCCGCGAGATCGGGCGCGTCCCTCGGCCGGTGCATGGACTTGCGAGGCCTGCGGCTTCGCTGGGCACCGGCCGCCGGACCTCCTGGTCCGTGGTGCGGGAATTTCCTGAAAGCGTGGGCCCGGTGGCCCTCGGCGTGGCTGTGGCTGGCCCGTCTCCTAGGTAACGCTGCCCGAGGCGGGCGGAACCAAGTGGGCTGGCGCCACGGGGGAGGCTGGACGAGGCCTGGAGTCACGGGTGGCCTCAGAGTCGGCCAGGCCTCCGCGCCTCGCGGTGAGGGGCTGAGCCCGGCCCCGGCGTGGAGGCCCGGTGCTTGCGGGGCGCGGAGGCGGAGCTCCTGGCGGGGCCGAGCCCGCGTCGGTCGCACCCTCCCCCTGGCCTTGACAGTTGGTGCGGTCCGGGCGCCGTTAGGCGCCGAGGGCTCCTCCCGGCTCCTCTGGGCTCTCTCTCCGGCCCTGCCATTCCTAGGCCCGGTGCGCACCGCAGTCCGCCTCTGTGTCCCGCGGCCTAGCCCGCGCGCGTCCATCCCTGGGCCTGGCCCCTGCGGCCCGCGTTGCGCCCGCCAGGCCCCGGCCCTGCCCAGCCCCGAGCGCGCGCCGCCGGGGCCCCGCCTACCGGTTCAGACCTGCCGCCCGCCCGCCGCCGCCGGGTGGGTGTCCGCCTGGGTGGTGCGCGAGGCTCACGTGGAAGTCTGCGGAGAAAGTGGGACTCCCGCCCGTGCAGTGCGGCAGGGAGGGTCTCTGTTCCAACCCCGGTTCCGACACGGTCGGCCTGGGCGGCTTCTCGGGGCCTCTCCGTCCTGCGCGCTCCGCGGCGACCTGTCTCGCCTTGCTCTACTGCGCGTCCCGTGGGGACGATCCGCAGTGCTGAGGACCGTGTGAAGGGGGACCGCCAGCAGCCCCGGGTCAGACCTGTCCTCCCCAGAGCTTCCGGGGCGCCTGCATCTCTGGCCTTCGGGTCTCTGCACGGAGCCTGGGCCCCTCCCTGCCCCTGGGACTGCTGCTGGAGGAACTGGAGCCTGCCTGGTTCTGGTCACTCTCCTAGGATGCGCGCCTCACGCCTCTGACTGCTTGTCATTCTCCCCCACAGGATTTTAGATTCTCTGAAACAGCATCTGTTTTAGTCAGCTTTTTCGCCACTGTGACCAAAACACCCGACAAGAACAATTTTAGAGAAGGAAAAGTTTATTTGGCACTTTCGCGTCCTAGGTCTCACTCAATAGATGGCCAACTCCATAGCTCTGGGTCGGAGGTGAGGCAGAACATCATGAGGGAAGGATGTGGAGGAGGAAAGCAGCTCAGGACATGGCAACAAGGAAGCAGAGCTCTCACCAGGAACAAAACAGGCACCCCAAAAGCATGCCCCCAGTGACCCACCTCCTCCAGCCACACCCTGCCTGCCTGTGGTTTCCATCCAACCAGTTAATCCATTCACTTGGATTAATGCAGATAGGTTAAGGCTCTCACAACCAATCACTTCGCCTCTGAACTTTCTTGTAAGCTCTTGGGGACACCTCATATCTAAGCCTTAACAGGACCTTTGACTGTTCTTGGTCTGGAACACAGTAGGTGCTTGGTAAATACTCATTGAATAGCCACAAACTCCAAAAGACTCCACTTGGCCTCAGTTTTGTAGATTGGAAACAGGCCAGGTGGGTGGGGGTCTTTCCTGATGTTGGAAAGACTAGTCTCTGCACCCTGGGCCCCTTGGCTTCTCCTGACCTCCTGACGGGCAGGGAGGGGTGGCCTGGCTATAATGATTTTGGGGTGGGCATCACTAGTCGTGTGGCTGGCCATTTAACCTCCACAGTCTCAATCTCTTCATTTTTATACTAGGGATAACGAGAGTACTTATCTTACAGTTGGAATAATAGATGTGGAAATGTTCGCGGGGCACTTGGATTCAGGATGGAACCCTCCCGGTTTTCTCTTTCTCATGTTCATCTGGCCCCAGTGGCCCTCTGCCTTTCCCCAGGGCATTTCTATTTAATCACTAAAAGATTCTTGCTGGGGACCCAGTGCTGACCTCACTGTCTTGTGTGCGGCTCTGATGTGTGCAGTGACTTTCCTGTAGAGGTCTGTTGGGAGCAGGTGGAAGTGAAGACAGGGTGTTCTCTGAGGAGGTGGCCAAGTGGGGGAGGGGAAGTGAGAGCTGCCTGCTGCCTAGGTTCCTCCTCTCAGGGGTCCCATGTAGCACATGTCCCTTAGACTGTTGCTGTCCTGCCTCCCCCACCCAGCTTTAGCCACGTGGGCACAAGTCCTCTCAGGGTGCACTCCCTCTCCCAGCCTGGGCGTGGGGCAGTAGGGGCAGTGAGGGTAAGGCAGTCTCCCGTGTGGGTGCCTGGCACTTTGCATGCTCTTTAATAGTGGCTACCAAGTGTGGCACTGTCCCTGCTGTCACCAAGGAAGAGAGGAGATGCAAGTGAGGTGACTGGGCCCTCTGGAGCCTGCGTCAGGAGTGCCTTCTTCTCCATCAGGCATGCATGTGAACGAGTGCCCACCTCCATTTCAGGAAAGAAGGCAACCAGAAAACAGCATTTTTCCAGGAAAAAAAAAAAAAAAAGCACAAAGGTCACCTTCCCTGAAGCTGTTTGATTTTGGTTGTGAATGTTAACTGTGCTCTGCTGGGGTGCCAAGGATGTGGGAGGAACAGGCTCCCTCCTGCCAGCAGCTGGCCTGGGAGCAGTCAGTGCAAGACAGGTGACGTGCAGGGGCCATATGAGCCGAGGGCCAGCCAGGGAGCATCCAGGAGGTCCTGGCAAAGCAGGTGGCTCTTGAGTTGGCGTTGGTGGCCTCTTTTGCTTTTGGTTGTGGGCTTTTGTGTGAATCTCCTGTGCCTGCTGTCACATAGTACCACAAATTCAGAGGCTTGAAACAACATTTATTCTCCAGTTCTGGAAGTTAGCAGCCCAAGATCAGCCTCACTAGCTAAGGTAAGGCGTCCCTGGGCTGATCCCTTCTGAGGCTCAGGGTGGGGAAGAGCCTGGCCCCTTCCTTTACCAGCTCCTGAGGCCACTGCATTTCTTGGCTTCTGGCCCTGCCCTCCTCAGGTCTCACCCTGCTTCCACCATGATACATCGTTCGCTTAGAGGATACTGGTTGGCTAAGTGTTGCAGACCTTCCAAATACTGCCATGTGTAACTGTACAGTTTCTGAAGGTCACATTTGTTCCTATTCTCTCTTCAGGAAAGTCTTAAGTGTGAAGCTTTCAGCCTTGTGGTGCAGGGTACATATGTGCCCAGTTCTGTTTTGCTTGAAAATTCCATTTTTATTGCCACTATTTTCCCTGAAGTGTCAGGCTCACTTCTTTAGAGAAAGTGTCCGCAGGTATCCAAGTCTGAATAACCTTAGCTCTACTCTCATTGTCTTTAGTACAATGTGTCAATGAATAGGAGAAGCAAGCTGGGCTGGCTGCCCAACCCTGCAGGGCCTCCCCTGGGATGACCAGGGCCTTAGTCTGCAGCAGAAACACTTCCTGTGGATTTCTCATTTTGCCGTTGAATCTTGACGTATACGCCAACTGTCAGGGTGTGACACGTTAATGACCTCCCAGCTCCTGCAGGAACGTTCTCTAGTGAAGCTGGTGTTTTCCTGTGTGGGGACAGACTCCATGAGGACAGAGTCTGGTGCCATGTGCTGGTGATACTGGGCCTTGCAGCTGAATCCTAGTTGCCTTTGCTCCGTCAACACAGATGTCAGCCTGGGGAAAGTGACCAGGGACAGCTGGGTGTTAGGAAGATCCTGTGACCTCATGCCCCAGGACCACACTTGGGGAGCTGTGTTCTCAGAAGGCTAAGCCCACTGCTTTTCATTCTGCTTGGCGTCTCAGTGTCGGAATCCAGCCTCTTGCCAAGGCGCGACTCTTGATTCTGGGTCAGCTGAAGGACATCAGGAGAAGATGGGATCCTGCCTGGCTGGAAGGGCCGGGGAGCACCTGGCTGGGGAGCACCAGCCAGGCCCCTCAGAAGCTGGCAACACTTGAAACCCATCCCAGACTGGTTTTGGTAGCAAGAGACTTTGTTCGTAGCTCAACTGTCTTGGGGTGACTGGTTTTAGGGAGCTGTTAAGCCAGGGCTCTGATGACATCAGGCACTCCTACTTTGTTCTTTTTTTTTTTTTGGGTACCAGTGACCACTGAGCCACATCCTCAGCTCTTTTTTGTATTTTATTTAGAGACAGGGTCTCACTGAGTTGCTTAGTGCCTTGCTTTTGATGAGGCTGGCTTTGGACTTGGGATCCTCCTGCCTCAGCTTCCTGAGCTACTGAGATTACAGGTGTGCGCCACTGCGCCCACCTCTTATTAATTTTAATTTTCTTTTTTTAAGACAGGGTGTTTCTACATTGCCCAGCGGGTCCTGGAGCGTGCTGTCCTTCTGCCTCAGTCTCCTGATTGCTGGCATTTCAGGTATGTGCCACTGTGCCCAGCCTTTCCTCCTTTTGACCTATGTCTTCAGGTAACTGCTCCCAGTTGGGCCCTGGCAACTTGAGGCTGGCACCCTCTGCTCTGATTGGGTCATGCTGCCTGGGCTCCCTTTAAGACAGTCCACACTAGGGCAGGGCTTGAGCTGCCACTCACCCTGGAGCTCTTTTGCTTTGCTCGGCTTTTGCAGCTGCACAGAGCAGCCTTGCATGTGGCGTCCCTAAGTGGTCACTGGGGCCAGGGTGTCTGTGCTTCGATGTGTCCATGGTGGGGGTGGAGGGCCTCTGGGTCAAGATGGGCACATTTCCTGGGGGCAGCATGGTGCGAGCTGGCAGTGGAGGCTGCTGACTGGGGTGTGGTGGGCTTCAGGGGTGGAGGTTCCTTTCAGAAACTCAGATTTACTGTGGGCACTGTGGCCCTGCTGACTCTCTTCTTCCACGAATGGAACAGGTCATGCTGGAGGCCCAAGCAAGGGTCTGGTGGGCAGAATGAACGACTGGCACAGGATCTTTGCCCAGAGCACGCTTGTCCCTCCCCACCCCCAGAGAGCACGGCAGCTGTTGAAGGAATCGACGGCCTTTCAGTGTGTCCTGAAGTGGCTCGAGGGTCCACTGGTCAAGCAGGTAATGCCGTCAGCTCTGTGTCGCCAGGTGTTCCCGGCTGAGGTGAGGTTTCCAGGTGACGTGTTGATTGTCACTTACCTCCTGCATCTCAGCACCACATCCCTGACCCTGGCCTTGGCGGGTTGGGAAGTGAAGTGGCCCATCAGCACAGAGCACATACAGTCAGTGACTTGGTGCCTTTGACACAGGGTGGGGGTTTCTTTCTGCCCACAGTGGGACGGTTGAAAACCCAGGTAGTCTGACTTCCTGGGATATTTCTGAGTGAACTTGTTTCAGTGTGTGGCCTTGTGCGTTCTTCCTTGTGTCCTGATTTCAGCCTGGCAATCAGGGCGCAGGGGGCTGAGCCTGGTACCTGGTGGCTGTGGCCTGTCTGAGCACAATATGTGGATATATGGTAGCAGTTAGCACTCTCAGGGCCTGTCCTGTGGGCTCCACAGCCAGTCTGTGCCCCAGTTGCCGAGGAACCTGCTGGGTGAGTCAGTGTTCCTGTGCTGCCATCTGCAGGACCCTTGTGCGGTGGATGTCTTGGTGAGCCCAAGTGGTGACCTGCGGGTGGCATGAGAAGGATCCAGCCTGTAGTGCGAGCGCGTGCTTTCTGAGTTTGGCCTGCCAAGGTGCCGTCTTTTGTAGCTGGTTGGAGTGACGTTAGTACAGAGTATGGAGTATGGGCCTGTGGACGGCTGGCTAAGTCACCAGTGTCCTCGTCGCTCATTCCAAGCCCTTGTGGAGTCTGCCGTCTGCCGTCCAGTACTGGGATGGCCGCTGTGCTCATGGCTTCTCTCTTTGGGTTTTTCTTGGGTGGATTTGCTCGACCCTCGCGGCCCTGGGAAGCCGGTGCCAGCGATTGCTGGATCCCAGAGAGGAGCAGAACCCCAGAGCAGCTGGTCAGCTGCCCCGATGGCCACCCTGGCCTCCACCCGGCTGGGCGCTCCGCTGCCCTGTCTCACAGGAAAGCCTTGCTTCTCTCCTCCTGGGAATTTTTTGAAGGAAATTTTATTTCTTCACTTTATTTTTCAAAAGTTCAAAAATTCACAAGGATAGGCAGGGAAAGTGAATCACCCATGGTGTCCCCACCCAGGAAGATAGCCAGTGGTACCTGTTTTTGGTATAGCTTTCCAGAAATTCTAAGCCAATACAATAAATCTTTTATAAATATTTTATTCCATAAAATATATTTATGGAAATATGTATTTTTTTCATTTTAAAATCTAAATGATAACTTACTGTTACTAAATGATAACTTGCTTAGCACCTTGCTATTTAAAAAAAAATCCATGTTTTATAGATTGTTCATGTTGTTACATGAAAATTTTCTTACTCTGTTGTAAAACTGCATAGTATTTCTTTGAGGGTGAACCGTTGTTTATATAGCAAGGCTCTAACTCATGAACTTCCGAACTTTCCCCGTCATTTTCTGTTACAGATAATGCTTCAGTAAATAAGTTTGGTTTTGTCGTTTTTTTAGCATATGCATATATTTGTAGAATAATTTCTATAAGTGGGATAACTGATCCTAAGTCATATGTGAAAGATGTGATTTGAGACCACATTATGTGTTTTGACAAGTGTATTTAAACACCAAGACAGAGACAAGCTGGGAGTATAACAGCATAAGCCATGCAAATACTGAGCGTGAGGATACTGGTGACCGTGCTGACGTCTGACCCCAGATGTCCAGGTGAAGAGCTGTGGCCAGAGATGAAGACAGACGCTTTTTCCCCCCCAGTTCTTGGGTGGAACCCAGGGCCTCATGTCCACCAGGCAAGTGCTTTTCTAGTGAGCCACAACCCAACCCATAAAAAGGGGCATTTCATCAGATAATCATGTCCAGAAGATGCAGCAGCCCTAAGTGTGTCTGCACCTCAGTTGGGGCCCTCAGAACACCCGTTGGGGGATGATCCTCTAAGAGGAGCACAGCCAAGTCTCCTTACAGTAGAGGACACAGGGACACCTACGGCAGGCAGAAGGACACAGGCTTACAAAGGTGCCCCGGTGACTTCAGCAGGGTGCAGTGAGATGTGGCCACAGACGGGAATGTTGCCTGGCACGGACCATAATGCCGGTCCGGGGCAGGAAGCGGGTGTTCAGCGTAAACCAGGGTTTCACCTTGGAGGCGCCGTGGCCAACTCATCAGGCAGCTGGTGGGAGCTCTCCGTTTCACCTCCCAGGGTCCAGCCGAGCTCAGCACGGCAGGCTGGCCTTTCAACGCATGCTGCTGGGCTGGCTGGGACAGCTCTCCTGCGTGGCACCTGCAACATGGCTCCCACATGCCGAAGCTGGCGTGGGTAGAAGTAAAGGGGCAGCGTGTCAGGTGCACAGTCGCTCCGGAAGAGCAAAGGTCATGCACGCGTCGCACTGGAGGCTAAAGGCTGTGTGCACAGTCACCCTGGACGAGTGCAGGACATTACAAAGATAAACAAATGAGTACATAAACAAAAATGGAATTATAGGGCTATTAGAAAATTATTTGAACTGAATAATCAGAGAGTATGTAACAATTTGTGAGGTGTTGCTTATATCAGTCGTTTGAGGGAAATTCATAGCTCTGTACGGCTGTCTTAGAAAAGAAAGGTATGAGATCATGGTTTCCTTTTTAAGAACCTAGATGAAAAGATCAAACCAAAGGTAACGTAAGTAGAAATAAGGCAATAGTAAATATTTGAGCAGAAATCAATTCAGGGACCAAGAATAGACAAAATGAGCAGAAGAGGAAGAAGTTGGTCCTTTGAGATGGTTCGTAAAATTGATGACTCTGTAGAAAGACTGCTCAAAAGGGGTGACAAAATAAAACAGATTCCTAGCACTAGAAGTGAGGGAGCGGCCATCACGTGTCACCTCAGAGTCTGTTAGGCAGGGGGAGGAGGGATGGTGATTGCAGACAGGTTCTCCGAGGGAAAAGGGGATCAAGGGCTGCTTCCCACCGCCTTTCTAAGGGCACGGCCAGTGATGCCCAGATCAGCCAAGAAACTCCCGGGAAAATACAGACCAGTGTGCTCAAGAATAGTAGCACAAACCGCCTGTGTTGGGGTGTCCGACCCC